CATATGCCACAGGAAATTTGTTATGGCAAAGTCATTAGTATTTTTTTTGGCAAAGTCAATTTACGCAATGAATTTACTTCGCTGGCAAATTTGTTGCAAAGTTACAAATAAATTTACAGATTGTGGAAAGCAGCTTGCAAATTTGAAGTAAATTTAGTGGTTGCAAATCTAAAACACTTCATACGCAAATATATTGCAAAATTAGTTATTGAATTTGCAACTAATTTACAAGTGTGCAAATTTATTGCAAATCTGTTTTTTCGTCCCGTGCAGATATCCATCTGGATGTTGAACATGCCTTTAGAGGCGAATTGTGTCAGGCCCTCTTTCAATACCGAGGGCCGGCTGATACTCAGGTTAGAAAGATTGGTACGATACCATGTATGCCTACGCTTATGAAAATTGAAAATCCTTTGATGTATTAAAGGAATACCGAATGGTTTTCCGTGTAGGATTGCGTGATCCATGCACGAGGGATGTTGCGAGACTTTCGGAAAGCGTAAAAATACACGAGCCGTAGGCGAGTGTATTTTTACGCTTTCCGAAAGCCGAGCAACATCCCAAGTGCATGGATCATGCTATCCTGCACGGGAAACCATTTGGTAATTGTTTTATAAAATTACTACAGTGAAACGACGCTTAACTTGATTAAAATTACTGATGAAATGTGCAGTTCTCACAACATTCGTGAATTAACCAATCAGGGAATCGCTACTCCACGCTATTGAAAACAACAACATATGTGAACAGAATTTGATCGCAAATTCGCGAAAATATACAGCGAAAATACAGGTACTTTTTCGACAAAATATACGAAATTTGAAATGGAAAACCCGCTAAACAGAGAACAAAGTAGTTTTGAAGATTCTCGACCTGAATATGTGAAAATTGCGAAGCGTTTGATCAACTTTGAAGCGAGTTATGTTGTACTTGCATGCCATGATATGGTCTGATGAATTTCAACGCTTACGCGTTGCTACTTGCTGAATAGCAATGTATCGATCAGAAATTTATTCATACAACTAAACCAACGTCTCAATAATTGGAAACTTACTTCAAAGTCGAAAGGTATCGTACAATGAAACTTTACAATGAGAGTATATTCGTAAAATTATGTGCAAGAATTTCTGTTCAGAATTTCCCGTGCAGGATTGTCTGATCCTGCACGGCTGTTGACCAATCAAATTGCGTGTTTCACTGTAGTTATTATATAATATTATTTAGTGCATATGAACAGGCCCTTAATGTCGAAAGGAGTTGTTTTCTCGCATAAATGTTGTGCCATCTTGTATTCACACGCTACGAATTCGAGAGGTATGGCGCATCGAAGGACAGCTATTTGCTACGACCTAGTTACTGCTCTATTCAGCGACGAACAGTGGTATCAAAATTTCCGAGTCAACTACAGCAACATTCACATTCTGTGTTATTTAAATTTGTTTTATAACTTTGTTTTTTTTTTAATTTTTGGCAAGTTGTAGTTTTTCGCCGCTTGCTGCCATGTTGGAAAGAGGACAATTTGTTTTGCGCATGCTCGATGTCGAACACATTTTTTATTTTTTTCGAAATTTGGGCACGGCACCCTTTGCTAGACGTGCCGATACTGCCTCGTGAGAAAGTCTCGGCACTTTTAAATTTTGCGGCACCGGTGCCGATTTTTGTCACGTTTACACGCCAAAAGGCAGAGGTGCCGTGCCTAAAATTTTGGGCACGGGTGCCCATTTTTAGGGGTGCCGTGCCCAAAACACTGGTCGTGTAAACCGGCCTTATGCTAGGATGAACTAGGATTGATGTGTCGAAAAGAGACTAAGGGTTTGAGACTGAGAGGTTTATATAAGAAATGGAAATTTCTCCTATTGACATCTTTAACTTTTAAATTGAACGGATGGTATGTTAAGACTACGGAAATTTGTTGTTACCTGTTTCATTGGACAGAACACGGGGTCTGTAAGGTCTTGGGGAACTTAGGAGGCTTTCGAAAAGGCAGTGTCTAAGAGAGAGATGGAATAGCTACGTTGGACAGAAAGGTGTCTCATTTCAGGATTTTTGTTTGGAAGTCCTCATCTTCACTGCAAATGCGGCGAAGCAAAATTTCGAAACCGTCGACGGCCGGGCGCATCATTGACGGTCGAACACATCATTAATTTCATTGTCATAGATATCGTGTTTGCGGTATTAATTAGCACGTGCACATGGAATCATTTGGTGACATTTTATACCAAATCAATGCCGAATAGTGCATGGGCTTGTAGAACACAGAAGGACTAGCTTACCATTGATTGATACACTGGTCTCACCGATCTCCCATGCCAACTGGTGTACCAGTGCTACATAGAAATTATTTACAAAAGTAATAGACATTTCCAATTCGATACGAGAACATGATTACCTTGGTAGGTGTATAGATTACTGCCCTAGCACAGCATCAAGCCTGCGTGTCAGGGTCTACGTTTGAAATAATACTGATAAAAGTGGATTTATGCGTACGAATCGTATTTCATCAGAAATAAATAGCCTTGCCTTTTAAGGTAATATCGAGTTGTTGTTTATGTAATATGATATTCCGTACTTGTAATTCTACGTTTGGCCCAATCCCGCCTCTCTCTTAGACAAGGCCTACCAAATTCCCCGATCTGAGACCTTACAGACCCTGTGTCCAATTTGACAGGTAACAACAAAATTCCCGTAGTCTTAACATATTATCCGTTCAATTTCAAAGTTAGAGATGTCATTAGGAGGAATTTCCATTTCTTGAAAAACGACCCTAAAACATCTTCCTCTTTCTCCGATAACCTCTCAATCTCTTTTCGACACAGCATAAATATTTACTCACTTTTTTTGCACGTTTTCCTGTCGGAGCCCCAATGTAAAACCTGCGAGTTTCTAGATTCTGTTTCCACTATTTTGGCACCAAAATCTCAATACCATGTTGAGCACCATTTCACGTGCACCTCCTCCCAACTCATTTTTTGCAGCTCATTTAGTAGATGTGGAATGTTTTGTATTGGGGAAACTGGAAGACCTTTGAGGACAAGGTTTGGCGAGCATCGGCGTGTAGTCATTGGCAACGATGGTAACCAGCCTGTTGCCAGAGATTTTAATAATGGAAATCACAGTATTTCAAAATTATGAAAAATCGCCCTCAGTCCCATTTCTGGAAGCAATGATAGTCGCAAAAGACATGAATTGCGTCTCATTTCCAAACTTGACACTGTCCATCCCTTTGGCATTAATAAACGTTTTTCCTATTTTTAACTCTACCTGTCTAATTTGCCTGTCGAAAGCAGACTTTGACAGTATTTTGAATTCTTACTTTATTCCACATTTGTTTCATATATTTTTTTGGCTTTTTATCGAGTTATGGTTTTCTGTATATTTGTATTAATATATTCTGTAATGTGATTTACATTGTTTGTTTACGCGTTGTTTGATTAAATCCATCTGATTGGTTTATTTTTATCATCTGATCGCTTTCATATTCATAGTATAAAAGCTCATGTACTGATTTTTTCCGACCACCGCTATACCAACTTATCCACGAAAGGCCTTCGCTGGAAACGTCGAAGTTCGTCTTGTATTTTTCAGTTTGTTGCATCCCTATCGATCCACAGCCTTCTTATATTGGTACTATACCAGTGATGTTTTCCAGGGGGAACGCGGGGGAACGCCGTCCCCCCACCTTTTTTACCAGGGGAACGGCGTTCCCCTTGCCAAAATTAAACATGGGGGAACGGCGTTCCCCCTAGCTGGAATTAAATATGAGTGAAATTCAGTGAACGTCGTTCGATACCGTCCAAATAATTTTGGGTATCACTTGTACTACATACGTGTTATTTTTGGCAAAAATTACTCCGAATCCTACTATTTTAATCTCTCTGAAACTTGATATACTTGCAGAAAATTCTAGAAGACTAGCACAAAAATACTAGAGTCTCGTACAGGTAATTCACATTCGGTTTATATAGATAAGTACTTATTGTCATAAGCGCGATAACGTCAGGCAGCAGCCAGGCAAGATATAATTGGTATAGTCTTCCGAGCAAACGCGAAATTAAACATTAAAATGAACATTAAAATGATCAATGGGAACATAAAATGATTCAATAAGAACATTAACATGATTAAACTGGAAAAATTCAAGGATATCTATTATCTAAACTTATTTAGTTACTCACGAAAACGTCATATTTAACTTGCAAAGTTCACTGCTTGCCGAGTTGCCGGATACTAGTGCTCACATACCGTTAATTACATCATCGAAATTCGAAAGTCAACGTGGTTTTATTTGCTTTTTGAAATCTACCGCGAGCAAGCTAGGTGTTTTTTAGGTACATGTTGTACTAAATCCATTTCAAAGATTAAGATATTGCGTATGTACTTCAGTACTTGTTCACTATGACTATGCACGAGGCCGCGCCCAATCGAGTGACCACGCCTATTTGATTTTCGAGAGCGTCCCCCCACTTCTAAAATTAGCAAAACATCGCTGTACTATACCTAAACTGGCATGCACAGACCGTTCAAGATTATTTTGATTTAGGTTTCAAAATGGTAGTAGTGGAATCTGTAAACTCACAGGTATAATACATCACTGTCCCACAGGTCCCTCATGAGAGGAAAACGTGCCATTATGTGGTGACAAATCCTTCACGTGGTAGAGAGCTATAAACTAGGGTTTTATGGATTATCCAAGGAGTTTCAAACTAAAAGTACAGACAACAACGTTTCTCAAAATTCCGAGTTAATTATATAATTATTATCCTTTATACTGGTGATTAACAAATGTATTTTGTATTAACAACCATCTTTCTATTTTACAGGAGTAAATTAAGTGCATATCACCTTGACAACAAGTGTCGTGAATACGTGAACCAGTTCATCATGGCGGATAAGAAAAGTCTAGAGCAAAGTAATCCGAAATCTCAGCCACAAGCATTCACCAGTTTCAGTGGTATCGATTATCATTCGAAGCAAGATGACAAGGGTAGTGAAACAAGTTTCAAAATAAGCACCGGAGCAGCGGCGGTAATTACCACACTGGTAGTTGGTACAGTAGGCGCCCTTTGCCACAGCAGAAACAACAGGAGAGAATAATTGGACAATTATAGTTATAATCACAAACTATGTAGAATACCTGTTTACTGTACAACTATTTGTAAAACGCATTAATAATTCATGAAGGAACTATAAAAAAGGAGTGTTGAATGAATTCATGTTGTATTCGTATCCCCATCATTTAATATCTTGTCATTTTTTCATACTTTTATATCTTGTCGTCGAGAGTAGTTAGGAAGCACAGCCGTGCGCCTTGTGCATGATCAATTATAAGAGTAAATTTTGATATAAATTGTCGACAATTCGTAACTGTAAAAACTGTAAGTAATTCATTTCGTCTGTTCCAGTGATTTGGTTGAATTTATTGAACTTTATAAAGCAAATTTGGTGTTGAATACACAGTTCTTTTAAGAATCTAGAAACAGGCTGGCCAACTGCTTTGTTAATATCTTTATGCTATGCATACATGGGCCCACGTTTTTCAAAATGATCAGTGATTGAATAGTTTTTTTGCAATAACACAATTATTCCAATAGGCAAAATTCTTTTACATATATAGCTTTTACACTATGGAAAAGTTACCATCGAATTTTGTAAAAAATTAAAGTGTATCGTGGGATTTTAATTAATTGTCCTGTGTTATCTTCATTTTTTACGACAAATAGTAAATTTTGGATGTAGTTTTTCACAGCAACCATGAAAATACCTTTGCATATATATACGTACACTCAAAGCTGGGGTTACACACGCCGATTTGTTTGGCCAATTTGATTCGCAACCAACCGGTCCGCAACGCGTTGAGTTAAAGAGCATGGTGGCGAGTAGCCAAACATACAGAATGGCAGCATTTTTAATGATAGAAATCAAATTTGACAAAAAAAAGACGTGGACAGGTTCGGACAAGAGAATTCATTAGATATTGAATGTTGCAGACGGCAAATGACATGTTTCCTTCAAAAAGGAAATTTTTGCTGTCATATATGGAAATTTAAATCTTAATGTGGAAGCACTGGCAATGATCGTGTTGCTATGGTTAAAATGACGTGAGCCTGCGTTCATGATCAGTGTTGGCCCCATTAAGGATAAATCATGTTGAAACAATGTTCAATTACTCGAACAGTATTGGCCATTTCAGGGTGAATTTTTAATTAACCTAGCTCTTTGTTGCCATGTAAAGGCTATATGTTGTTAAAGTATTCACAGCCATAATAGACCTTCTTAAAAAGTCTGCCTTGCGGTCGGCATGAAGCTCTAGGAAGATGTTCTGTAATTGGTTGATTATGACAATGACAAAAGAATAAGCTATAGAATGGATTAAGAACGAAGCAAGAACAATATTCCTTTTGTTTATGTAAGCCAATTACGTCTTTTGTCATTGTTATAGTCAACCAGTCACAGAACATCTTCCTAGAGCTCCGTGTTTACTGCTGCCATGAGACGTAGTTTGCTGTTAAATACGATCATTTGTCCAATCAGGTAAGCCTGATGGCTGTGCGGGATTTTTCTTTATCCGCAAACTACGTCAGAAGGCAGACTTTTTAAAAAGGCCTGATTGGTATTTTATTTCAGCTCAAGTGAATAAGGTAGATTTTTAAAATTTTTAATCGAATTCAACCTTGTGAGTTTACTTGGAATTATTCAAATGAACGAGTTATTACGGAAAAGACTATTTAGCAACAAACAGATGAAGATAAGTCAATGTTTGGAGTCGACTGTGCAATCAAATGACAGCCGTGTTAATATATTTTCTCATTGGGTGATAGCCAGGTTTTCTCAATGGAGAAATATGGGCGAAACCCAACAAGGATGATGATCTGAGCAATCCATCTAATTTAAACCCCAACCCTAATGCAACGCTGACTCTAAGATCTAATCGTAATCAAATCTTAATCCGACCTTAATCTAATCCTAACAATCTAAACCTGACCAGTTTTTTATGCATATTTTCCAGCACTGACGCAGCTAAAATTTATTTTCTTAGTCGAGTAATCTTGTATCACAACATTTTTAAGGGCTTTTTCGTTGCTTTGAGGACTATTTTGAATCCACGAGCCGGGGCAAAGTGCCTCCCATCCTACCCGCTCTTGGCTTTCCTGCATCCACTCAGTAAATCTTCGAATTCAGTGTAAAGCAGGTGTAGAGTAAGATGAAGAAAGATACACTTGAGGTGGTTCCCTGCTGTTTTTGGCGTATTTATGATTTTGGGCGGAATTTTTGAACAATTGTTATTTGATGAAAAGCAAATAGCATTGGAAATAATTTATATGCTACTTGAAGAGTAGTTAACATTTTACAAAAAATGACGTCACTGCATGCCGTTATAATGGTAACCACGACGTGTCAATAGGGCCATTCTTTCGATCCCATTTTATTTAAGTAATTTAACTAAAAAAAACAGCAGTAATCCGCACTTTTATTTTGTTAAACGTTTCTGGCCAAATGTTAAATTTTAAAAGTTGACATCTAAGAGAACAGTCATTATTAATACTGGGGAGGGGGGGGCACCAAAAATGTATTAGCCACTTAGGGGGGGGGGCTACAAAAATATCAAAGAAAGGTAGGGGGCATCAAAAATAATTTACAATAATCATAAAACATCAGCAATTATTCACTGTATTATAAATGTCAATGATATACAAGTATAGGTAATCACACAGGAAGGAGTGTAATTAATGATTAACACTGTGAGTAATATTTGAAAAATGTGCCAAATATCACGAGTGAGTGTTAATCATTAATTGCACGACTTGCCAGTGTGATTTTTTTATTCTATGCATGACAAAATCGCTTTCTTTAAAATTCAACTTCATTTTGTCAAGAGTTGTTTAATTCTTTTGTTTATACAAACTTGGGAAATGATCATAAACTTATAAAGGCACATAACTTAAACTAGGACGAATTATTCAAACTCAAATAACATATTTTAGGGTAAGAAAATCTTTATAAATTGTATTACATAGTTACTGATAGTTACGTTTCGCTGCATCTCGCCAAGATTACTTCTTAAAACTGTTTCCAGGTATTTTCCACAGGCTCTTTTTGCCATGCCATGTTTTTTAAACTCATTCTTGTGCCAACATTTATTTAAATCCGTGCACGCGTTTGTTATTTATACAAGATAAATTCCATAAATTTCACCGCCATATTGGACTTTTGTTGTTTTGACCCCCCCCCCCCAGCCGTCACGGAAATCAATTGCATCACAGGCGGCCCAATCTCACAAGAGTCTGTATAGACTCTATATAGTATTATGTAATACCTTATTGAATTGTGATAATTTAATTGGCTGTTTATGGTCACGTAATATTGAATAGAAAATTCCATTTCACATGAGTGCAAAGGAATAAGTTCCATTGCATTCTTTGCTAGTGCAATTGTACTACTATACGTTTTATTAATTCCATTGCACTCATTTGTGTTTTCGATAAATCGCATCCGTCAAAATGCTTCTCATACGAATCTATTAGTCTATTTTGTTATTATATAAAACAAATAATAAATGTTTATGAGTGCAATGGTAAGCATTTTCATTTGGTGAATGATGGAATGTTCCATTCAACTCAGCTGTTGCCTCGTTGAATGGAACATTCCATCTTTCACCTCATGAAAATATTCTTACCATTGCACTCATAAACATTCATTATTTGTATAATGTATATTATAGTAAAAATATGTCATCAAATATAAATTTTAAAATGAAATTGGACTTGCCTATTTGATAATGCATGCATGTTCTCCTTTTTATCCCTCCTTTGTTGGACTAATATTTTCCGAGACTTTGCACTCGATGGTACTAGTCATACATAATACATAATATCATGTATTATTATATGGCTTTTCAAAATTCTCTATTCTGATTGGTTGACAAGCGGTCCGTAAAAACCCATATCCGGACCGTGGTCCGCATTTTCCGTATCGGGACCGGAATTCCGGATGTCTTTTATCTTTTGCTTTGCAAACAGAAAAAAAAATTGTTTTTTAAATTTCCAATTGTGCTTTACAGATAAAAATTTCAAACAACCAAATTGTTTTTGATTAAGCATGCATACCTATCGTATATTGTTACCCAGTGAAACTGACGATAGCCGATTTAACTCGCGCGAAAAGCATATGCTCACAGACTCCGATTATTGACCTCGCTTGTTCGGTCTGTACTGTGAAATATCAGACCTCTGTTTTTTGCATGGACCTCGCTCCTTCGTCGCTCGGTCCATACTAAAAAACCTCGGTCTGATATTTCACAGTACAGACCTCACGCTCGGTCAACAAACCGTTATTATGTATCACCAGTACCCGGCGAGTGCAATATTAAAGTCTCAGAAAATATTAGTCCAACAAAAGAGGAATAAATAGAGAACATACACTATCAAATTGACAAGTCAATTTCATTTCAAAATTTATTTTATTACATACTTTTACTATAATATACATTACTATAGAAAGTCTATACTGACCCTTGCGAGACTGGGTCACCTGTGATCTATAGTATATGTTTAGAATGCAAGTTCAATCACAGGGAGAAGGAGCGGGGGAGGGGGGCTATGAAAATTTATTATATCTAAAAGGAGGGGCCATGAAAATATATTTCGAAAGAATGAAGGGCCATGAAAAATTTACCACGAGTTTAGAAATATCTTCCAGCCCACCCCCAAGCATTAAGAGAGAGTGTCCCTAAGTTTCGACAAAATGTCGGCGGATGTGAAAAATTCGATTTCGCTCAAATTTGGCCAAAAAGTACTTGATTCCATAGGATTTTGACGAAGTATATTTTTATGATGCTTACCTACTTGGTTTTTGAGAAATCGACATTATACAGCAGGTCGTCGCGAGCGAGTAATTTGCGGTGCATTCCAGACAATTTTTAGATGAAATTCCGTTGCGCATTCTGAGATGAATTTATAAAGAATATTAATTGTACTTTGGTAATCAATAACTCGATTCAGATTGTCGAATCAGATTGTCAATAAAAAATATAGTTTCAATTAGTGCCAAATGACATTTTGATTTATGTTTTAATTAACTTTTGAAAACTTGTACTGTTGTGTCATTCAAAATGAGTGGGTAAATTAGCTATTACGCATGCATTACATGCATGCAAACTGGCTGTATTTGCTTCTGTATGACTTTCTGATGTATATTATTAGAAAATAGAAAATGAATCACGTGCGTTTGTCGTTGATAAAAATGCGCGAGATCGATGTTCCGAGAATACAAAAGACGTATGTACATGAGGCGTAGCCGATTGTTTTACATGTTTCTACAGTATTCTCCCAACAATTCGAGGGTGTATTATCATGACAAACGCCCAAGACTTGTTTTTTTAGTTTTTTTATAATATAAGTAGAAGATATAAACGCGGTAAACAATATTATTCAAACGATCCAGTTTGACATTCTCTTAACATGTAATCCGTGACGTCACGTGCACGCTTTTACTTGTCGCTCAGCAACGCGCCTAGATTATCAACTTGAATTTTTAAGCGGGCAAAGGAGCAAACGATACAAAATTTTAAGAAAAATGTACTGTTCAAAACGCTGGAAATGCTTTCAAATATAGAAAACTAAAACTGTTGTTTGTTATTAAGAAAACGTTTGCTACCCGGATTCCGCAACCCGCAATCTAATACCTGCATTTCCCACAACGTGTGGATGTCCCACGTGGTATAGTTTGTCCAATGAGGAGTACTGTATTCTTTGTTCATTGTTTGCTGCAAATTGTGAACGCCCTGTTGTTGACTGCAGTGTCGCCGCAGTGTTGCACCATTATATTCTCAGTAGAAAGCAAGTCGAAGATACATATATCAAGGATTATTACTACTGAAGCGCTTCGAAGAAAAAGGTAGGCATAGCCATAGTTGATCGATTAATAGGACTTGCTACTCAATCAGAAGGTAAAAGTTGTCACAATTCAAATATTCAGATAACGTTTGTCGTTATATTCATGTGGGACAGTATAAGAAACACTTTCGGATGCAGACGTTTATATAACTCGGTGTGGATGACACACCAAAACATTCTATGAATTTAGTTTACGGATTAGTACATAGAACATGTCGTAAATGTGCTAAAGTAAGTGAAAATAGCCAGAACTAAAAGTATATCAGAAGCAAAATTGCACATCTGCATGTCTGCATATATTTAGGCATCGCCATCGGGAAGAAGCAATTGCATGAATGTCAAAGCTACAGCTTTGGCCAAGCCTGGAACCTAACGCTAAGATAGATATCACACAGATATCACAACTAGTTACTGCTATAGCCGAGAGAAAAGGCTGTAATTATATTGGCACTCAAATAACTGTTCTAACCTCATGTTGTTAGTATGAAGGGGTTTATTACGTGATTAGATTAATAGCAAATTCCAGGAAACGGTCTACGGTGTGGAAACTACATTTTAGAAAATTCGATTTTAAATTGTACGAAATTTAATACCGAAACATTTTCTTAGTTCTTATATAAACTACAATGCTCTCTGTTTACCAATATTTTACACAAAGTCCGGTTGGCCCAGAATACATTAGCCAACAAATATTAATGCTACGACACAATTGTGTCAACACTCTGACACTATCAGCAGACAGACTATCTTCGACCGATACATGGTAGTTGGAGCTGGGAAGTGTATGTTACAAACACTCCCAGACCAAGCTTAAGCTGCTAAAACCGGCTTTAACAGCAAACCGAATGCTGCTTGTTAAATTAAAAGCCTTGTAAGAACAAAGGACGCGAACCGTAAGACTATTAGTTAAATGTACCGGTACATAACAGGTAGGCAATTTTTCTGAGCATGCGCGCAGAAAATCAATATGGCGGCGTATATTAGGAGTGTTTCGTGGATTTATCTGGTTTTAAAGCTGATAAAACAACATTATAATGAACGAAAACTTTGTAATATTTGGTGGAAAGCATTAAGCTGTGCATGCCAAAGGTTTTATATTAAAAATAAGTACTTTTGCTTTATTTTTTTTGCTTTTTATGATGCTTTGAAAACAGGCAAGCTCATATTTTTTGAAAAAATCTTATCTAATATTTTACCCATTATTTGTTTAATCTGAACAAAAATAGATAGAATACTTGGCTATATAAGTTATAAAGGTATTGTTAGCTGATCTGAAAGATTTCAGTATTTCAGGTACACATTTTAACAAAGAATAAAATTAAAAAACAATGGTTTTTATTAGAACAACACATAATAAGTTGTTATTTTCTATTTTTACAAAAAACAAGTTTGAAAACAGGATCTAGTCCTCCAGCTTGATGTCATATTCCATTTATTTGGATATTTAAATAAAGGAATGTAAAATAATAGTTGAAACTTGACCAAAATTTGATACCAAGACTGGAGTGAATAGATACTATCACCTAAAAAATAAAAGAAAACAGAACTTAAATTTATCATATAATGCTATGAAAAAATCTTAGATATTACAAGCATATAGTGAACACAACTCTTTAACAAATTCACTAAAATAAGTTAAGTTATGCTACGGTAACAGGATGGCAAATGTTACCATCTTCAGTGTCCAAAAAAAGTGCCGCGCGCATTTTTCGTGGTCGCATAACTGGCATTGCCACAAACCCAGGTGAAAGAGAAATTAGAAAAACCTGGTTTTGGGTGATGAGCATAGTCAAATTCTTGACTTATTCAATTTTCTAAGTTTTTCCAGGAAAACAGATCCAACATTGAAATAATCCCCATTCGGGACCCCATAGGGTCCAAAATATTGTGTATGGACCAGATTTTTTTCAATTTTCTGTGATTTACATAACACTAGTTATAGTTTAAGGCTCAACAAGTATTGTTCAAGACATATTTTCCTTCCAGAACACCTTTTCAAAATACTAACCCAAGCATGTCAAAAACAGTGTACATTTACAAGGGAAATTTCAACCTTTTGGCACATTTTTCCCATGAATGATTTTAATTCTAATATAAAGACTATAGATAAAACTTTGATTTGAAGCCAGTTTCAAGTGATGAGCATACCCTACATTTTAAGCTATACCTCCGAAAGAAGATAGGTCATCTCAACATAAACATTGAAATATGCGTATACTGACAGCTCTGTCACACATGCATGTAGTTTGACATTAGCAGACCTTCCGAAACATTTTAATGAAAGTATAATTCACAAAGTTCACAATTTGACTTACTTCTTAACATCTGTTTTAATCCAACTAGCTCTGTAGGCACGAGCAAAATTTAGTGTTGATGTAAATATCCATTTTGTTCATGTTTCCCCGGTGAAAATATAGTCTATTCCAAAGCTGATTTCGACGTACTTTAGCTTTTCAGAAACTGTTGGCCTTCCTCAGTGAGATTATCAACTGTTTCACAAACATATTTGATAGTAAACAGCTAAAATATTCTCCGAAAGTCTATATTTTTGCTCTTCGACGCGAAAATGGAAACTCAAAAAGAAATGAGCCGCTATTTTTGGTCAGCGTCGACAAATTGCCTACCTGTTCCGGTACATGTACACGAGGGTTGACTTGACATGTTTTAATAAATTATCTACTGAAGCATGTACGTATACGATATACAATAAACAAATGCAATTTAAAGTTAATCTAAATCACGACAATATTTCAGTCCTGTAACAGAACTTTTCGAAACTTCGAATATTATTTAACTAAATATGTATAAAACAAGTTTTAGAGTATTTCACTTTGCGAAGGTCATATTAAATATGCATATTGGATAATAGCCTGTGTACAGACTGTATTAATTACGCTGTAATACAGGTGGAAATTCGTGGCATTGCTTTCAGTACATTCTGATTGGCTGAGTTCAAAGGTCAACAATGTTATGTCAGGCTTTGAATAACGTAGACAAATCATGTTACGCTCACGAATTGCCCTTATTTTCAACTTCTCGGTGCTTTTCATTTGTTCAATTAGATATCTTAATCTGCTATACATCAGAAACATTTTGCGTCGAAAATTAAGTAGTTTGAAACATAGAAAAAAATAGAAATTACGATAAACATCAAGTGTCAACAAAATATAATCTCGATTTTCAAAATCAATTGATATTTAAGACCAGCCAATCAGAATCCATTAAGTTCAATCAACTACCCATATCTGGGTAGCGCTGCTGGGGGTCGACGGGCAATGTCACGAATTTTCACAGACTGTATTACAGCATAATACTGTCTGTAGACATGCTACATTGCTTGCAATACTACTAGGCAAATTGCGTCAAGTGTTGCACATAGTGGAAGTAGCTTCTGTCATAATAGCAGTGGACTCTACTTTTGCGGTAACTTTTTCAGTATAGCAGGTGGCACATTGCAACGTTTAACATATCTTTGTGTGACTTGTCAGACTCGCAATGCTTTCTTACTAATGCTTTCTGGCAATTTCGGTATTTGTAAGGCGCTATACTGTACTATGGAACTATGGAACTATAGAATTTATTTCTGGGAACTTGCCACGAAATTTTATTGTGACAATACCTCACAATCATCAACTCTCACAACATATGCATTTTTGTTGGAATAGACGACCGGCTAACATTCTGAAAAATAAACTCTGATGCCGTTTTTTGTTACAAGCTGTCAACTGGCATTTTCCTATAGCTTACACTGACATTGGTGAACAAGGAAGACTATATATGTTGGCAACTCTGACTTTGGCATGAAAATTTCAGAATTTTAAAATTTTGCTAATAAAGTAGTGTATGCTGCCTAAACATACAAAATTTCAATTTCACTTTCCACAAAAAATAATCTATGCAATTAGAAGGATAGCAGGAAAGTGTATATAAACATTTAAGCGAGTAGTGTAAGTTTTCAAGCCAGTTTTGAGTTAAAGGTGCTTAAAGTTGGAAAACTAGTAACTACTGTATATCGGCATCAATTGGCGCATTTTCTTTATTTCCGAGCTGTTAAAAGTTCACAATTGGCTACGAAAATCATGCTACTCGCTTAAATGTCTTATATACACTTTTTGGCTAACTTTCTAACGGTATGGTTATTTTTGTTAAAAGTAAATTTGCAATTTTGCATTTTTCTCCGATTATAGTACTTTATCAACATGAGCTCCACCTTTGAATTTACTATATGAGTAAATTCTTAATTAAACACGTCCGAATTTATCATTATGATAAATTCGCGGCACATTTTGAATTTATCAATAGAGTTAATCATAAAACCACAAGCATTGCACAAGGTTTCCCGTTATAAATGTAACGGCACTAAAAAGGAGGCCGGTCGCGCAGGGGCGGGAAGTTTTCCAAATTTCTTAAAAATATAGATTTTAAAAAAGTTTTAAAAAGTTTTAAAAGAGTTTTGAAAAGCATGAAAAGTTTAAAAAGTTAGATTTTTAAAAAATTTAAAAAAATTTAAAAAGTTAAAAAATTAGAGTTAGGGGTTAGTGGTTAGGGTTGGGGTTAGGGTTAGTGTTAGGTGCCGCGAATTTATTATTATGATAAATTCAAAATTTGCCGCGAATTTATCATAATGATAAATTCGGACGTGTTTAAGAATTTACTCATATAGTAAATTCAAAGATGGAGCTCATGCTGTACTTTTTACAGGCTAAATTTTAAAATTCTCAAATTTTCATCTATAAAACCAAAACTAGAGTTGCCAACATGTCTAGTCTTGTTCGTTAATGCATATACTCGCTCTACAAAAATGCCAGTTGGCAGCTTGTAACAGAAAATGCCATCAATGACAAATTTTGCTGCACATTTTCAGAATTATTTACATGTGTCGAATACAATTCGTATTGGATTTTGGGTGTTTCCTGGAATGACATAAAGTTTGAGACATTAAGACACGAAAATCTCGTTTACTAAAAATATTATTAACGTTAAATAAAATAGGCAACATTTAAACAATTTGCGAAGATTGCACTCAAGACTGTTAGGGGTGCACAGGTGCAACTGATTTATTAAGCCATATATAGTCATATGTTACTTAGCCATCCCAAAATATGAGACAATTAAATTGGATATTTGCATGCGTCTTCCCATTCATTTGCCGCATGAATCCCAGAAAGTATACAAACACTAAAATGAATCTTGCAAGCATCCAATGCCATACAAATGCTGTACTGGAAGTCATTGCGCTATTTGCGCATACAGTTAAAATTTTCAACCCCCGAAGTACAGAACAAATATTGCGCCAAAATACGGCATCGCTAGAAATCGCGGACATTCGAATCCCGAAACATCCCTTAAATCTTTGCCCCTTATTACCCTTTCCTATTCAAAATACATGTATAACTAAAAGATTACTAAAAGATTACAAAAAGGATTACAAAATGTAAACATACTAAACCGATATTACAAAATCTAAACAAACAAAAAGTAGAAGAAAAGAGGTTTCGAATGATATATTTTGGGTCATTTTTGACTAAAAAATAATCGGCAAACTGCGAAATATAATTAGAACCTGATGATTGTGTGAGTGTCTACTAAACCAACGTTCGATTTTATGCAAACTTGGAATGAAACGAATAGTCATTCAGAGCACAGAGTTCAGGTAGTTTTAAATACTTTATTCGATAGTGACCAAACGGTAGGAGTGCGAATGGGAATTCAGGTCGCATGCGAGGAACGCCTCAGATTAAAGATACAACAAGAGACGATACACGTGGAATAAAATATACATAACTACAGACATAAATAAACACATGCCGCCAACTCGAAAAGCTGAGATTTCATAATGCTTAAAAATTTAGTGATAGCAATAATACCTTGAAGTGATGTAAGGAACAATTAATATATTAAATAATCAAGCAATAGTATGCATATGAGCAAGTTCGATGTAATGACCATGTACAGGCTATGTCTACGTCATAACAAGACATTCATAAATGTAAATATCTTCTTGATAAAAACTAGCTGAATATAGTTAGGCTACTTATTTACACAATTACGAATAGGCTACGGTTGTGGCTTACGAATGACACGTAATCAAAAATATTCAAATCATAATATGCGTACATAGCTTTAAAAAAGAATGTTAATTAAGTCCATAATCTCTCTATCGTAAGATAGCGGCAGAAGATTAAGGGCCAACAAACGATGTTTATATGTCGAGACCTCTCCTATCTTTACTTGAAGGTATGCGAACAATCATTTCGGCTACTAATATCTGCAAATTATTTGAATTTTACCGTACATTTTTAAGTTCATCGATTATTAAGCCGTAGTAAGACTTAATAAAACTAGTAGTAAGACTTAATAAAACTAGTAGTAAGACTTAATATCACTATAGTAATAGAAGGGCCATTCAGGGGTACCACGTGTTCTCGTTTTTTTATGCAAAAATATGCAGTTTACTGGCCAGAAGGCGGAGCAGCCAGCCAGTACAGCGTGTTTATTGGCCAGAAAATGTCATTGACTGGCTAGGAAAATGGCGGCCAACATGTGTATAAAGGCAATTTTCCAGTCCTCGCACGAAGCTCCTCGCAGCTCGCTGCGAGTGCTTGCATCTAATTAAAATGAACGGTTTAGCATTGTGACTGGATGAAAGTGCTTATGCATCACTCGGAGCGAGCTGCGAGGAGCTTCGTGCGAGGACTGGAAATCCGCCTTATAAGCTAGTGCGACATGCGCGAGGACAGAAACTTCAAAGCTTCTGACGCGAGTGGCCCTTCTGTATGGATCTTCAGTATTCTGTGCATGGGGACTGGGGTGAGAATGAACGCTACATTCCAAATGTCCGCGATTTCTAGCGATGCTTGTTTGTGAAGTTCTACTATATATATGAAGTTCTATTATTTATTGCGTTAATTACTTGCATTTCCCCTCTCTCTCGGGTGTAACTAACCGGACAGAATAAACACTTAGCCCCTTCATCTGTGAGTTCAGCCCGGATCGAGCATTTAATAATACAACTTATTCAGCAGTGCAGGATTGCTCTAATTTATCTAGGTTCAGTGATGGCACAATCAATCAAGCGGATTTCTCTTATAACACTAGCGATAGTGGAGCTGGTAAGTCAACGTATCTGTTATCGTAGCCGTTCATTAAATTGTTTCTACGTATAAAAAATGCCATTGTCATAACATTTTTCCCGAAGTCTTGTCTACAAGGGACGGGGATGTTTACAAACATATTTAATCCCGCATAGCCCCTCACTTTTATTACTTGGAGCTCTATAGTTCCCGACACTAACGCAGCTGGAGTTTATGTTTCATAAATAAGTAATGTTGTATCAAGAAATTTTAAGGGTGTTTGTTGCTTTGGGGGAACCTTTTCAAATGAATGCCTGGGGAAACGTGCCCCACCTCTCGGCGGCCTTGTCTGTTATAAAACTATACATACAGATACAGGGGATGCTCATTAAAAAAGTGGCCCTTCATAAAAATGGTATATCCTGTTCTTTGTCCCCATTAAGTAGAGAAATTCTTAACGAAGTTATGTTTTTGAACTTGCATATTAAGTTTTGGTATCTGTAAATAAAAAATGTAAAGGATTATAAAAATAGATTCGCTTAGAGGACGTAAATCGGAAATGTGCTAAAATTATCAAATTCATGTTTTTATATTCCGAACTTAATCTCGAAAGTGGAATGGCATGCATGTAGCTCCAGTAGCCGATATAACTGATTCATTTCTGTATACAGTCGTTTCGTCAGGATACTGAATGGCTAGAATGGAGTCAGTGAGGCAAATATTTTTGTAATAACGAAGATGCGCTTCCAATCCACTATTACTAACTTTTCAATAAAACCATTTCTACACAATTTGATGCAAACGTATTTTTCTTGGCAACCTGGGTTTTTAAGCCAATGGTTAGAAAAGTTTGATTTTGTACTTTTCGTTCCCGATCCGTGTGCGAATCTGCCTGAAAGTTCTACCACATACAGGTGTGAAAACATACAAGAAATTGATCCATCACATCAGTCAGTCCCTCCCAATTCATTCACACCTTTGAGTGACTAATGTAAAGTAAATCACATGATATACAAGTTATTCAACGATATTAGCGAATTTTCAACCCCCGCCATCTTTAATTGAGGGAAAATTGTTTCTCTAAAACGAATCAGCTTTTTTAATCCTTGATTTTAAATTACTAGTTTTATTCACACATACACAAAACCAAACAAGTAAGTACAAATAATTAATTTCTGCTTATATAGACTTCCTTTACTTATGGTGACAAAGAACGGGGGGGGGGAGCACTTTTTAATGGTCACCCCCTAAACCATTTATGGCTGTACTTCTATTCTATATATATTTTTTATCACAGGTTACTCTTTCAATTGCTATCGGGGCAGTTGGATATTTTATTGATGAGTCTAGTAACACATTTGGTGATAGCAGAAGTTCTCGTCAACTTATCATCGACGTAGGAACGTACGGGAGGCATGAATTTCTCTTGTCTGCTGCCGCTATTGGAATATTCGCCGCCATACTGTCATTGGTGATAGCAATTGCAAATATTCAAGAGAAAACCCATTGGGCAGTAAATGTAAGTTTCTATTCAATATATTTTTGTACGGTGAAAGAATTGACGTTGCTTATAATTCAGGTCAAAATAATCTCCAATTAAGAGAATGTGTTATTAATCATACGTACTGTACTTGACAGTTGCGCGAGTTGGGCTTATACTGAGCGGTTAGTCAACCTGTATTCCCGTTATAGATTCACGTCTCGCTGTTTAGAAATACCGACCCTAATTCTTATGCTGTTCGGAACAAAACATCACGTCTTTGTTCTTCTGCTTTTGTTCAGAACGAAGTTCACGACAAAAATTATGGTTCTTTCTAAATTTGTTCACTCCACTCATCCAATTGTAACTTATATACATACGCTAAGAGTAAGTTAACAGCAGTTTCAGTATGATTATACTATGTTTATTTGACGCAGATGGTTACAGTTCATGCATTCTGTGCCTTACTCCTGTTGGTCTCTGCATCACTCCTAGCAAAAACAACTAGGACATATGAGTCAGCAGAAGTAACTAACATGTGCAAGAACTTGGAAAAGGCTTCTAGTCACGCACGATGCTATCAGTTGACCATTGGTGTGGTGAGTACATAAATAATTCACTATAAATACACAGTGATCAACTTGACTATGTTGTATAATATATATAATGTATATAATGTATAATGTTTTGTAATTACAATACAATAATGTTTCCTGATTTACATTGTCTTTTACTGGTGTTTACATCAGAAGCAAGGCAATTGACAACTAGCGTAATAGACTAAATTTTCATTTAGCAAAAATTTCATCATAGCTTGAAAGAGCATCACAAAATTAGTAATATTCCAAAGTTTCGTTGCGAAATGTTGTAAAATGCGGATAATATAGCCTTGCGAAATTTGCAATTTTCAGTCATTTTAGATTACAAACGGGAAATTGACAGCCCCATACCCTTTGGGGCTGTCAATTTCCCGTTTGTAATCTAAAATGACTGAATTTAGTCGATTACGCAAATGGTCAATTGCAGGGTTTAAAAAAGTATATCGGATCATGGCACTATTTCCCCAGAAAGAAAAAAAAAGGAATTATTAGATATTAATTGTAAAAATTAGATAAAAGGGGAGATTCAGAGGGAAAAAATGTAGACAATAGAAAAAATGTTACCTGTGCTCTAGGTATGACCTCAGAAGTGCAATTATAAGTGCTCTCGTCTTAATGCAATAGTGTATATTAAATATATAGACTATGGAATTTTGTATGACAAATGCGTTTTTGGCCATATTCTGGAAAATAAGGTTTTTATCATAATAATGGTTTCTATCATAACAATATCAGTGTTGCACAGTTACCGTGTCAAAGTGACGATTTATTGTATTATATTCACAGAAAATGTTGCAATAATCTCTTGCGTTTCCGGTAGAGCTTTGCGGTTCCAAAAATTTTATCTCGGTTCCGGGTTTTTTGGAACAGAAAAATCTCGGTTCGGTTCGGTTTCGGTTATTTTCAAAAAAGAAGAACAGTACAAATGTATGAACTCATTTATGTATTTTTCGAGCATTTTAACTATATAGATGAATTTATATGCCTTTGTAAGTTTGTATAAATCTCTGAATATTTTAAAAGAACAATTGGATCCGGAATTTATTCGGAGAAAGGAAAGCATTTGCGAAGTCTAAAGTTCATCAATGATCGCGAGCGTGGATGACCAACCATAGGTGGTCATCCTCACTGATATCAAATACAGCGGACTGTCATGAATAGCAAACACTGATTGGTCCAATTTAAAATTTGCATTATAACGACTGCATGATGACAGCTAAATAGATTTAATGATTTTTTGCAAATATATTTCATATTTGGAAGACTTTGTAAATTTCAAAAGCTTTTTGAGTAAAAAGGCGAAATAATTGCTATAGAAGGGAGCAAATGCGCCGACATTAACGAAAGTAAGTTTTAAATATTGGTGTAACTATTGTTTGCTTTATATTAACTAATTAATTGCTTTAGAAGCTGATCTTTTCGTATATTTTTAATGAAAAATAGAACATATAATTTCAGTGTATCTTCATTGATTACAATTTTTATTATATTAAAATTTTTAAATAAAAAAGAAACTAAGAAAGCAAAGTTATTTGCATACGGGAACTTGAAATCATTTTATTTCAAACTCAAAATTTATCGATAAATTAAAGGCTGTTTAGTTTTTAATATAAAGAACATTTTAATTTTAAAACGTTTTGCGAATCGTTTGTATGTGGTTGAATTCTATTTCGTCATCAGTTATGTCACTAGGGAGTCACATGAGATATGCATGCGCAAATCGAGTGTTCACTTTTGTACTTGTCGTTCAAAGTATTCAGTTGCAAGTTTTATTTATGGAGAATTTCGATTCAGAAAAACCGACTGCCGAAGTATAGTCCGTTCACAGTGAGGAAGACGACTTCTTTGCCGAAGTGGACATCGACGGATCCAACGAGAATGACGACTAATCGGCGAAACCAAGCAGTTTTCGACGGCAGTTAAACCAGTCTTTTACATATAATGGTTGGCTCGATCATGGAAAGGTAGCTGAAATGTTTCCACGAAGACAAGACACTTCCCGCGAAACGAAAGAAACCTCGCCTAGCTACGGAGACTTCTGGCCCTGAGGAGGTGGAAGAAAACCAGAGCAGCGACAAAGATACGCGGGCACTTTCTGGCCCATCAAATGCCGAGTGCGGGCAGAAAGCTCTCGAACCACTAACGCTCAACTCGATCAAAACACTGACAATTACAATGACTCATTGCTGTCAGAAATTGATAATGGTTTCTCTCAACATGACGATGTGGGCCCGGCTATTACAGTTAAACTCGCTACCATAATCAATAAGCGTTGGTCTGAAAAACTGAGCGATCAAAAGCTGAAAGAAAAGCGGGATAAATACCCCCCCAGACAACTGTGACAGACTTGTGGCGCCACGCATTAACCCAGAAGTCTGGGCGAGGATAGACCACACTGCACAACAGTTCATGGACCTTCGCCCAGCACAAACCAATCTAATCTGGCCAAAGCAGGAGTTGTTCTGGCAAAATCAACCGACAAACTTTTGTTACTTTGTCAAAAAGACTCGAAGCCCGAGTGCCGGGTGCTTATCACACTCAACACAGACGCCGTTGCTCTACTGGGACACGCGTCGTGTGAAATGTCACAATGAAGGCGGGAAACGCTAAATCCGCATCCTAACAAAGAATACACGACCCTTCGCGCCTCGCATGTTCCAGTTACATCTCTCCTATTTGGGAATGACCTATACGGGGTTAACTAAAAAATATACGAGCTACAAATAAAGTTAGCAACACAATAAGTGATGCGAGAAAACAATGAAAAAATACACAACAATGGCGACCACGATCAGATTACGACAAGAATTTTTTATCGAAGGGCCCCAGACAGCGCCAAAAACCGTTTCCACCAAGGAAACCAAACCTGTGGAATTGAAGCCGAAAAAATCAGTAACAATCTCCAGCTGCAATATAAATTCTCTCAGTCCTTTACAGGTGAGTAACCTCGCCTTAAATATTACAAATATGAAATCATATTTTCAGACTAATATTATATCCAGAGGGTTCAAGTATCAAAAACATTGCCAAATGGCATGTGATTACCTCTGATCTAGAGGTTCTAGATTCGGTTCATGGACTTCACATTGAATTCTCGATCGAATCATATCAAAGCTATACTCCTAAAACATATATGTCAGACCACTCACCTTGCTGAAGTAGATAATAAAATTGCAAAACTTCTGACAGAGGGTATAACGGAAAAATCACAGGGTCACCAATCCTCCCCTTACATTGATGACTCATTACTAACTGGTCAAACCAATGATGACTGTGCAGCTAATGTGATTGACACAACACAGCTCTTAGACAACTTGGGGTTTATAGCTCACCCTGACAAATCTGTCTTCATCCCCACTCAAGAATTAGACTATCTTTGCTTTACACTGAGCTCCAAAACTATGCAGGTGACTGTAACACCTGGAAAGAAGTTGATAAAAGGAGTTCCAACTTGAAACAGGTAAGGAACTCCTTAATAAAGAATATCCTACTATCAGTGAGGTTGCTAGGGTAATAGTCTAGCTCATCTCAAATTTTTCAGGTGTTGCAATGAGACCACGATATTACAGACTTTCTGATGCTGACAAAATTGCAGCACTTAAACATAACAAAGGGAAATTTGATACCACTATGTAATTCTCGGCTGAAGCCATGAAAGAACTTGTGTGGTGAATAGATAACTTTGACACTGCATTCAACTCAGTGCATAGAGGGAAACCTTACATAACCACACAGACAGATGCTTCAAAAATGGGATAGGGATATGAATTGGGTGACAAAACAACTGGTGGACTCTGGATCCAAACTTATAGTCTTACGAACACATAAGTTACTTAGAAACACTAGCAGTTTTTCTGTCACTTAAATCCTTTCGGCATATTCTAAGTGCAACCATGTAATAATCATTTTAGATAGTACCACTGCTGAAAACATCATAAGAGAAATGGGAACCAGCCATATTGCTAAAATAAATCACCTAGTAAAACAAATTTGGCAGTGGTGTGAAAGTCAGAAAATATGGATAACAATGGCACACATACCAGGGGTTGAAAACTGTCAAGCAGACTTTCAGTCTCGGTCTTTCAATTGGGGGACTGAATGGTGTCTTAATAAAGACATACTTACCTTGGCATGCAACATGCCCAGGTTTACCCATGACATTGATTTATTTGCTTCCAGAATCAACCATCAATTCAAAACTACGTAGCATTAGACCAGACCCTGAAGCAATTGCCATTAATGCGTTTCACACGACATGGAATCAATTTGCTTTCTATGCTTTCCCAAGCGTCAAGAATGCTAGTGATCCCCTATTGGCCAACACATATATAGTGTGCGAAAGCAATGAACATGATTGTCCAACAACCAATTGTCTTGCTAAAAAGCAAGGAACTATTATTCCTCCCCAACCAACACAACGAGATACACCCCATGTACGCAAAGCTTTGCCTATTGATATGCCACTTGTCGGGAATCGGCTCAAAAAACAGGGATTTTCGGATACAGCTTCAAGAGTCATCCAAAACTTTTGGCGAACAGGACAAAAAGCACTATGCTTGCCACATTAAGAGATGGATATGCTACTGTAGTAAAAGTATATTAATCCCATTTGTCCTGATGTGCGAGATGGCATTAATTTTCTCGCAGAACTTCTGGTCTCAAGTGTCGGGTACAGTTCCTTCAACACTGCACGATGTACACTTTCATCAATAACAAATATGTCTGGTCATTTTAGGTTTGGTATGCACACCCCCTAGTGTCCAGGTTCCTGAAAGGAGTTTTCACAGAGACCAAGTCTGCCGAGATACCAAATTATATGGGACATGAGCATAGTCTTAAATCACCTTAAACAGTCTAAAATTGCCGAAGAACTGTCACTGAAAGACTTAATTCTAAAGCTTGTTATGCAAATGGCACTTTTGTCTGGGCAGCGATGCTAGACTCTGCAATCATTAAGTATTGACATCATGAAACTTGGTGATGATGAGTGTGTTTTCCACATTAACAAACTACTAAAAACAACCAAACCTGGTTCTAAACCACTGAAACTGTGCTTTAAGGCTTTTTCTCTGGACAAACAATTACGTGTCCTACATTACCTGTTGGATTATATACAACGCACAAAGGGAATCAGGGGAAACACAAAACAGCTCCTTGTGGCTCACCAAAAGTCCCATAAAGCGGTCTCAACAGATACCATATCGAGGTGGATAAAAACTGTCTTACAACAGGCGAGAGTTGACATTTCTATATTTGAAGCTCACAGCACTATAGAGCCGTCGCCACATCAGCGGCAAACTCAAATCAGATACCTATAAACATTATCATGGCTAGTGCTGGTTGGTCAAGTGAAAATACCTTTGCAAAGTTCTACAAAAAGCCCATCATTGACCAGGACACCAATTTTGGTGAAACTTTATTAAACTTTGTTTATGTTAATGTTTAAACTAACATACTGTTATAGAGACTGTGGCATATACCACACAAATTTCTAGTTGTTACTACGTACGCATTGGTTTTGGACTGTTATACAATAAATCGTTGTTCCAGAACTTGCCTCATGTGAAGTCTCATGCGAGTTCCTAGTGACGTAACTGATGACGAAATAGAATGTAAAAATTAAACGATACTTACCTGTATGTTGAAGTTTGATTGTAATTCTATGAGTTGTCAGTATGGAACTAGCTAGGGAGTCACCCACCCAACATACTGTGTGGCCAAATTGAGCTGGCAAGCCCACCCTTGTCGGGTGCAATCACTACTGCTTCAAATATGCTGAATACTCGATCTGCGCATGCATATCGCATGTGTATCCCCAGTTCCTAGCTTACAGATAACTCTTAGAATTACAATCAAACTTCAACATACAGGTAAGTCCCGTTTAATTTTTAAATTTTACATATTAAATTGAAGCTTATATTACGTACAATAATATACATAAAGATATTACTCGACTGTGATGGTTGATTTCAGTGCAGTTAATCACAAACAGCAGTGCAATTTGCTGTAATCACAGTGCAATTTTCTGTGATCACAGTGCAATTTTCTGTAACAAACTGATCTGATTGGTGCAACACGTCGGGCACGCGTGCTCGCAAAAGTTGCGAGATGATCGAAGTTCGTCAGCGGTAATTTACTGAATACTTAGTGTAAATTAAAATTTCTGACTTCCCGATGAGACACGTAATGGCTGCTATTTTGCCATTTGAAACTGTTCTAAAAGAAATATATTTGAATAACAATGATTCAGAATTATCCCCGAATCGTCCGCTTTACTCCAGTAGCGACGAAGAAGAGCCAAGATATGATTTCATCGGAGAAGCTGTCAATATTTTCGCCACTTGTGATGAGTTAGGTCAAAATAAGGTGCATTTTGCTCACGAAGCAAGGAAATACTTGAATGAACTCTACAGGCTGCATGTCAAAGGAAGCGAAACTTTAACAATGAGCCGTTCATTGCTGAATACTGGAGCCATTTTCAAAGATGAAGCTCGTACTTGGTTGGGTTATATTCACAGGAGGTTAATCGCGAGGCCACGGATACGAAAACCATGGTATTTTGAATTTACAAGAGATATCCCCAAGGAAATTTTCTTAGCACTCAAAGATGCACTCAGGTCTACAAACAATCCAAATTTGCTGACCGACATTAACATGGATGGCAATCGGAAAGCCTTCGTTATTAGTGTGACATCACTGGCTCGTGTTGTAAGTTTATTTACAGAATTAACTGAATTTAGCAATAGAAATGTTAAATCATATCTTGCGAGGAAAGTGACCAGATCGAAAGGCATAGCAAAAGTCATTGTTTCTGATGTTAAGGATTTTGCGTTGGTGTATAAATTTGCCAAAAGACAATTAAGTATTAACTGCCACTATGGATTCTGGAATACTTATGGTTTCCCTCAGCATGACTAAACAGTCTAAAATGTCATGTCTTGAACAAGTATTATATATAGTTTTATTTTAACCTGTTACTGTTTACAAAATCTACGTACTGTATGACATCCTGCCTAGTCGAAATGGCCTGATTATATGATATGTCCACATTCAGCACAATTTTTGTAGCAGTGATCCTGCTACCGAGTGGAAATGATACTGAACTGAATTGCACAAGCCTCCAGGATCCCGCAGAACAAGCTGTTGATTAATTCTGGCAAGCAAGGTCATATAAACAGGCCATTATAAGATATAACGTCCAGAGAAATAGAAACAGTAGAATATTATTGTTTATTTATAAGGCCACACATTACACAATCGATGTAATTATTATATGTATAATAATAACATTGTTTATGCAAGAACCTCATGTATATTCAAAAAACTTTGCTTTGTTTATTTGTAGCCCATTGAGTCGCATTGCACCTTGGTGCGCCCTACCTTAGTATTTTACTCTATCTAACGCCAGACGATTTTACTCGTTAAGGGGAGAGCGCTGGCGTTTAATGAGTTAACTGGCCTATCTGACCATGTCTAGTTAACCCATTGAGTTCCATTGCACCTTGATGCACCCTACCTTAGTATTTTACACTGTCTAACGCCAGATGATTTTACTCGTCAAGGGGAGAGCACTGGCGCTTAATGGGGTAGTATATGTGAAACACCACGAAATCTTGATTAACCACTAAGTTTATCTGTTTAACCAAACATCTAATTTTATATCTTGATCAAACGCACTGTAAGTTTTGTCTATTTATCCGGTCCTCGCCTATTTCCAGATCGAATAGAGAAGGGCTCAAAACATTGAGAATTTGTATCATTTATATATCTTTCATGTCATCAGATTATTTACCGCTCCCTCTGTAGCAATAAAATTACAAAGTGATACTGAGCATGGCATTATAGTCAATTGTAGTAATGAAATATATGTCCCTCAAGCCTTGGAAGGTACGTTAGGAAAAATCTCTCGAGTAAACTTTTATCAAATCTTCCTTGACTTCCGGATACAATTAATTAATCACTAATCGACCTGAATGCTATGCTACAGTATCACTTATAATGATAGAGAAAAGTAATAGGTAAGCTGCCTTCTTACCAATTTCATCTTTTTGATATCTTTTATCAGCACAAATAAAAGATGATGGGAAATGTACAAGTGCAATGTACAATGTAAATGTACTATATTCACCCCATGATCAGTTCGTCAATTACATAGATATGACATCGCCTTTATCCCCCCCCTCTCCCCCCCCCCCTGCATACAAAGATTACAATTTTAATAAATTTTTTGTTTATTCCTGTTAATAAATACATGTTTAAAAGAGTGAATAGAAGTGTCACTTACATCATTTATAAAATATACAAAAATATATATATATATATAAATATATATACATAATTAAATAAAAATAATATACAAATATATTATTAATAACTTAACAACTTTCAATAAATACTTCATAACAAATAATTTACATGTTTAAATATGTAACATTTTACCACTCAGATAGGAAGTGAATGACACTCACATACAAAAGTTATAACAAACATTTGTCGACAGTTAACTTTCCTAGCTTACACGATAACTCAATTGACTTTCTGTAAGGGTGAGAACAATAGCCACAAGAACTAACCCAACCTCCTTCCAACAGCCACACTCACAAAAACCATCAAGACCAACCCTTTTAGGAACATACTTTCCCTTGGAAACAGCATAATTACTTAAGTTATACCCTCTTTCCCTTAGCCATATTATAGAAATGTACTCATGGCGGAAAATGAGCTGCCACCGATTGCCATAAGTGCTATTTTTTGCATATCGGGAGATTGCGATATGTTTTGCCTCACGCCCCTCCATGGAGTTTACCGCAAGTCCCTTTCCGTACTTGGATTTTACGTCTTGAGTATGGACAGGTATTACATGACCTACAGTCCATACAGTTGGGGTGACTTTGCCAATAAATAAAGCATTTGCTCTGTAGTAATTCATACAAAAATTAGTCAAATCTTGAATCTCACTAGCAGAGATGGTCATTCTACTAAACAAAGAAACCGAATTCCTAAGTTGCAGGGCAATATAGGCAAAAACATGTATCCGAAACTTTTGTCTCAGTGTATCTGCAGGTGATTCCAGACACTCAGACACTAGGTACATAAAATTATGGAGAAACATCCTGGAATCCCTCCCAGTGAACCTATAATTGAACTCTTTGCTTTTTGCCTTTGTCTCATTGAACCAATGAATAATTTTGTTTGCTAAACGAGAAAGCTGGCACTTATGTTTCAACACATATATAAACTTATAAAATGCAGAACTACTTGGTACCGCTTTAAAGTTGGATATATTATCACCAAGAGCAGATTTACCAATTGCTTCACAAAGCATCTGCTTGTGAATCAATTGACAGGCATTATTCTTTACATGCAAAGGGTCAGCATGGGCCCTATCAATGAGCCTGCCAATTGGTGGGTCAAACTCTTGCCTACTCTTACATCCTGCAATAAACGCTGTGACTTTGCTACGCGCAGTCTGCTCTGTTACTGGCTTTTTGGTCAACTTTGTTTTGAAAACGCGAACTTTGTTAGCTATAGATAATCGTTGCTTATAATCCCACGGTTTCCATGCATTTGTGGGGGCTGGGCCAAAGGTTTTACTTACATCATGAACATCATCATTGCAAACATTGCCAAAAGTTGAAAAGTACTTTGCACTATTTGGGAGCTCCCCTGCTAGATATGCCAACATTTTCATGTCATTGGGAAGCTCTGCAAATTTAAACTTGATCACCATATTATTAATGTTAAATGAAGCCTTTTCAATGTCCTCAATCTCTTTAGTTATCATTGAAATATACTTGGCAACTGCTGGGCTTGTTTCACTACAATTGCTACCAAAGATAAGGAAATTTTCCTCGCTGCTTAAAATCTTATGACCGATGTTGAGAAAGCTAACTAACCAAGCACAAGACTGGTCAAATTTCCCAAATGGGGCCCCATCCCCACCAATAGCAACCTGAAAGGTATAAGGCTCATTAAACCAATCTATATCAGATGCAGGTAAGGCAGAAAGATAAAATAGTGCCAACCTTGGAAGAAACTCAATCAATTTCCTATAACAACCATCCACCTTTTCTCCACACTCTAAATCATCACACAAAGTATCGCGAACACTATACAGCGTTCCTATTTCAATTTCATTGAGCATAGAGGCAAGCTTGTTGTAAGGAAGTAGTCTAGGCAGTGGGTTTGACAGAACTTTAATACGAGTGGTTTTACTTTTTCCATTTGGGTTTCTCATCATGGACAAACATCTATAGGTTGATCTATATTTTCTCTTGCCCATCACTCCTTTACTGTAATAAACTGCAATACTTCGGAGTTTATTTGCCTCTGATTGTTCAAAGTTATCTGAAGCAGTCTTAAATATCACAGAAAATACATTATTTTTAAATTTCTTACTAGTCGACATAAACTTGACAAGAACTTCCTGTGAGCACTTCTTTTCCACTGTATCCAAAAGACCAACTGAAGTAGGTAAGGGATTTTCGGGGGTTGCCCCATGGATTTCTGAAGCAGCATCAAATGTTTCTGTTCTTCGTCTTGCCATTGCCTGTGCAGATAACCCTGGTTTATCATTAGAACTTAGAACAGTTGGATTAGCACATCTTGCTTTTGCATTTTTTTCAGAAAGGAATGTCGTTTTCTTCTTTTTGGCAGGTGGAGTGAGCAATTCAGGTTGGGGGTCTCCGCCGACTATTTGTGTTTCTTCTGAGACCTCCTCAATCTGCAGGAAATGTAAAGTAATATTGTAATATATGATGTACATGATGTAATAGTGACAGATGATTTTACTCGTCATGAGGAGAGTCTTGCAACTTAATGGGTTAATTTACCAATCTGCAAATTTCTCCTTGTAAACCCATTGAGCACTGATGTCTCTAATGCACCTGTCATGACCCTTCTACTCTGTCTAATACAAGACAACATGCCAAGGGGAGTCATGCAGCTTAATGGCTTAATTCCTGGTGGGTTATTCAATCTTAATATAAAGCATAACTTCCTACTACTCGAATCTTGGTAACAATGTAAATTTTTGTACAAATGAGCCCTTAATATAAATGTGAAAACTTTCTATGAAGACCCTGAATAGCAGTTTATAATAAATTTGCCTAGATACACCTCCCAATATGAATGGGAAAAAAGCATTTTACATGCACTTACCCTGTATATAAGCCTGTCTAATTTCGATTTTTTCTTCGAAAGTGTCTTGTGTGCTAATGCAGTCTCTTTTCTTAAGCGTTTCTTCTCTTGCATATAAGTGGCAACATCAAATCGACTGTACAATTTAGCCTTTCTTCTTGCCATAGTAAGTCATAGGCTAGAAACTAAAAATGGCGTAGTAATGAAAACTATGTTTCAAATAAAGCCGTCATAAGACGAAATGACGCACGTAATAAAAATAATAAAAACATAGGATTCTTACCTGATAGTGTTTGGTTGATATAGAAAATATTTAGTAGCCATTACACAAATATGAATCAAGTTATATGAAGCCAAATCCTCTCAATTTTGACAACTCGGACTCGGAGTGGCAACACTGTCGATAATAGCTTTAAATTTTCAGCACAAAAGTACCGATAACATTAAAGTATTTGGTATCAGATTAATCTTTGAGACTTCTAGAATCCAACAATGGCTGCCAAATTTTACATGAACGAAAATTGCCCTGTTGCTAGGCACCCAAAGATCAGCTTAAAACACAACATGACTAGGGCCAATTCCCTTGCTCGCGCGGCGCAAAAATTCGAACACGCGCGTGCTTGCAACTTTCGCGGGCACGCGTGCCCGACGTGCAAAATCATTGTGTCAAAACAAAACAAACATGGCGTCGCGCTACACAAAGTAAAAGTTACCTTCGCGTGGAAAATATGGCTTTTAACTTTATTTTTAAATGGAAAAGCATGTACTTAATCAAGACTAACAAAAATTACATAGTTGAGTGGAATTTACAAGCTGTTAGCGCTGTATAATGTGATATAACAAAGCCAGGAAAACTTTGCCAGTGGAATGTTCGCTATAAACGCGTAAGTTAAAACTACAATTGTCTCGAACATTTTTATGTAAATTATTAATAAGTAATAGCATGGTTTGTCGTGAAATTTGGACTGAACATGCACTCGTGAGTTTTTCAAAGACCTCAAATAGCACTCGTCCTTCGGACTCGTGCTATTTTGAGGTCTTTGAAAAACTCACTCGTGCATGTTATATCCAAATTGCACTCGAAACCATGCTATTACTTATACCATGGATTGTAGAATAACTGGAGAGGAAACTTCTGACGTCATTGACCTCATCCTTGTCACAGATGCGGTAAATACAGATACGGAATCTCCCGTCGAATTGTTTTGTGTCACACGGAATTCGCACTTCCGACGAGCGCTGGCAAGTGTCGTTCTGAAATTTAATAAGGAAAGTAATAGGAAAACGCCGTTCGAAACACGAAAAATTGTTTTTTTTTAAAATCTGCGCTACCGACGGCTATTTTGGAATGAATTCTTCAAGAGTAACGGTAAGCGATCACATTTATTGATTGCCTTTTACTAAAAGTGTTAACATAACATTTTATTTAGCAAAAGTTTGTTTTTTCCCTATCTTCTCCTTATTAAAATCGTGAAATACACTTGCTGGGAATTTCAGATGCTCATGTATAAATAATAAAACAGCGGATGATATAAATTTCTCAAAACATAACTCTCGCATAAAAAAAACCCATGAATACTTCTATAATATGTATAGTTTTATTCCTCTCCATTATCAAAATTTAATAAAATAGTGAATTAATATAATTTTAAAGTTTATTTAATCGGTGTGACATAATTTGCCGCGAGGTTTATAACTGTATTTACCTCATCTGTGTCCTTGTTGAAAAACGTGACGTCACGCGTATTGCGAATATTACCAAAGTTCTCGGCATTTTTGTTGTTTTGCTATATTTTCCACTTTAAAAGGGTGATATTGAAGCATAAACTGGTCTAATTGTTTTAAAAACATGCCTAAGCCACGACAAAGTATTCAAGGTAAATGTTTTTCGTCTTTGTTTTGTATTTTTTTCATTTGTAGCTACGAAATTGGCGTCACAAATTTTAATAAAATTTGCGATGTATTTTTCACTGTTTAGCGCTTGAAATATTTGCTAAAATTGACTGGGAATATTTAAAGTTTTCATTGTAGAGTGGCGTGGTTATATTTAATATTTGCTCTTTGACTAAAATGTTTAGCTGTATTATTGCTAAACATGCCGTTTTTGAGAATTTGATTTGCAACATCCAACCACGCCATCAGCCCATTGAAAACATTAGGTCACGTCAGCTAGTTTCCTATCCAAGGCCTGCTCTGGGACCTTAACTCGCCGCGAGATAAGGCGAGCCTATGCGAGTTAAGGCGAGATAGGGCGAGTTAAGGAAAAATCTGGCTACTGACCCTTGCGAGTTAAGGCGAGATAAGGCGAGTTAAGGAAAAATCTGGATATCTATGTATTTTGCTTTGTTTGTGCATTATGCAAAGCAAGTATGCTGTACTTGAAGTAGCAGGCCTAGAAAAGTGTTTTATTCTATATTCTACAATACATACATGATATGCACAATAACTCGGGACCTGGAAACAAGTTGCATCAAAACGAGGCTGGTAGCCAGATGCCAAATTGTATAATTTGAGGCATTATGCATAGTGTGTATAGAACTGCATTGTTTCCTAAATCTTCACAGTATCAGTTGCTAACTTGCTATGACTAGCTTCACCACATATTTTGTAATTTTTAGCTGTTTTCATGAATCATGACATCAATTAGGTTCGAATTTGTTTGCAAGCAGCAGTCCTTGTATTCAATTTTTAATTTAATTTAATATAAACATTGATATGAAACAAAGAGAAACTAAAAAGCTTGCTAGGAAATTATAGATTATTTACTATTAAATTTAGCACTTTAATAACTATTTTAATTAACGAAATTTCGAACCACAATGATATATTAAATGATAACCAACGGTCATAATACTAAAATTAATGCCCAACTTACTTGCTTTGGAAACGTAAATGAATGTAAATGACAATGATTCCTCTGTATAAAACTGTATTATTGTTTAATAATATATATTCCTATTTCCTATCAAGCTTTTATATTCAGAATTCACTGCTTCTCATTAACACTAACACTAAGTATTGCAAGCAGATTGTAATTTTTCCGCTGAAGGGAGCAATATTTTCAATATCTGTTCCCAGACAGCATCCCGCCCCCCCCTGGTAAACGGAATCTTCCTTCCCATCATCGCGGTAATTCCTCTGTGGTCGGAGGGGGGGGGGGGATCTACGCATCTATAAGTCAGAATCATTCGATTCCGCAAACGCAATAAGTATAGGTTATTTTGAGGCAACGAGGGGATAAGTGATCTGCATATTAGTATATATGGGAATATTAATTTTCAACCATACTTGGCAGTTTGGGTTCTGTTATTATGTTCAATTATTTTCACTGTGATTTATTAAATACTGGGTATTACTGTATATAGTATGCCTGCTAAGGCCTGCTTACTGTATTAAAGTAGAGTAGTTGGTGGAATTATTTGATCAATACAGCTTTATGGCATTACAGAGAATCTAGTAAATTAAAAATATGATAACATTTCAGATAATCAGGCTTACATACTTGTATGTTGATGTCAGTTGCAATGCCAAACTCATAGAATATATAAGTGAGTATTGTGAGTCTAAAGAATTTTGATTGACAGTATTTGTGTTTTACTGACGTGAAACTGTGCCGGGTTTTATTGCAAAATAGGGCGAGTTAAGCAAAATTCTGTCAACTTCTCATTGCGAGATAAGGCGAGATTGGGCGAGTTAAGCAAAATTCGATCAATTTCTATTGCGAGATAGGGCGAGATAAGGCGAGTTAGGGCGAGTTAAGGCGAGTTAAGGCGAGTTAAGGTCCCAGAGTAGGCCTTATCCATTTATTTTATTATCCATACATATACTAATAAGTAAACAAACCTAACAAAGATGTGTACGTGTTTGGGAAGTTGATAATTTTGTAATTAAAACATAGGCGGCCCATTAAATGTTGTTAATTTACATAAATACAGCAGTACAAATCGTGAAAGAAAGTCAGAATATCTCAAATTAGCGAAATGTAGCTTATAGACCCATTGCACATGACGTCACAGCGCCGGTGACGATGTATCTGGAGGGCAAATTAGCAATTTAAGCATAATATAACTTTTTTAAACAAAGCAAATTTTGTAAAACTTTCTAATAATTTTGTATTAAAATGGTTAATTTTTGCGCTGCATGTAGTTGTTGTACCCGAACAGATATTGTTGGCGAGCATCTGGAGGACACTCTAAGGATTTGTGACGTCAGTGCAATGGGTCTATTAAAGACAGGATTAAAGATAATCACTTCGGATTGTAGATAATCGCTATGACGTAGATAAATGATATCCTATAACAGGATGGGCTTCCAGTATTTATGTAAATTAACAACATTTAATTGCCCTCCTATGACTGAAAGTGATATTTTTAGGTGATTTTTCAATTGTAAGAATATTCTTAAGTGAAATTATCGTGTTAAACAACTAGCCTGCTTTAAATACTCCATGTTCGGAAAATACAATGGTTTTGTCAGCAAGGCGAGGGTTTCTGCATGCATGTATTTTCTAGTTATTTATAAAATCAACATTCAGTCTGAAAATTATTTATAGCATAATTACTAGTACGTGTCAGATTTGATTGATGTGTTGTCGGCAGTCCCTCCTTTCCTTTCGCATGCCCGGTCATCTAAACCCACGGAAAGGAGGGACCGCTCGCAGTCTAGCATCCCGCTAAAAAGGTGCTAATCCATCCGCAACCGATTCAATTCTTTCTTAAATATATTAACACTAACAATACTGAAATCCCCATACATGAGAGATGGTAAGTATTTTTGTTCGTCCGCAAATGGGATACGCATGCATGCATTTTGTTGTTGGTTTCTCCACGTCTAACACCCCTGTGTTAATAATGGTGGGTCTCTAAAAATAATAGTTTCCTGTGGCTGTCTTACAATGTTATTTTATTCACACAGGTATTTGGTTTTGTTTCTATGGCGCTGTTTATTGCAGACACCATTATTTACATCTCCATTTTGATGCGAAACGTGGGAATCAGTTTCGTGAACATGGAAAATGTTACATCATAAGAAACTTGACAAGAGAGAATCAAAACTTCCGTTGGTTTAAAGACTAAACTGTTTTTGTTTGACGTATACGTAGCTTTGATAGATCACACACGCAGTTCATGCATGTATATGTATTCATGGCCATGTTTATACAGGGTGTCCCGAAAAAAAGCAATTGCCAATAGGTTCCAGATTTTTACGCAGCTAATTATTAGTGGGTATTAAAAATTTTATTTATATAAGAGATGAATTTTTACTCTACGAATAAAAATTAATCCGTCAGAACCAATGTTATGGCTGTTTTAAATATAAAGTCTATAGCTCACCCATGCAATGGGCCACTGAAATCATGCATCAATTGTGTAAAGTATCTGATAGGTTTGAAGACCTCTAATTTTAAAACAAGTATAACATTGGTTCTATTAGAACAATCGTGACAGTCTTAGCTTCAAAATTCAACTCTTATTTTAAATTGTTGATGCTCATTAATAGCTATATTGCCGTACGAAATTTTGCAACGTAGCTATGGCATTTTTTCGGGACACCTATAGCTGTATAGTAGAGCATATGTGCACATGCGGTTTTTTTTAAATTAAATTTTTGTTTGCGTTCTATATAGCATGCAGCTCTTATAAATAGATTAGTGGACTGATGAGGGATATTTCTCCAACAGTGTTTTCCGTAATATATAGTCATGAGAAATATACAACATTGCGTTGTCAACATTAAGTTGACTCAAGCGGGATTTCAAACTCACATTTCACGCAAACAGGGTTAACATTCTATACCACTTGAGCTATCGAGCCAAGTGCATGGGAGTGCACAAGTTCAAATCCATATTCTAAGCACACGAGATATATTCCCGGGACTGAAATATTATGTCTTACGATTGCAACAGTAATTCAAGTTTATTTCAGAGTCATCTTCACGGACATGTATCATATTTTCGTGATGATTCTGAAATAGTGTCTTTCGCAACGTATATGGGTTTCCTCCCTGCTCAATACAAACACTACAAATAACAACAACATCAGTGTCAAAAAAACAACAAAAGCTTTGCTTATCGATAATAATTTACTCATTTTACTGCTGTTAACGAAATTGATAACTACATGCTGGCAAAGATATTAGCCAACGTTACAATGGGAGGGGGTGCTAATCCTCCTTGCTTTGCAGCTCAGAAGAGCTACAATCCTGGAAAAAACATCTGCAACACTTCCAATAATATTATTATTTGACAAAATTTCGTAATATCGCAAATTTAGGAAAACCTCCCCCTTACCCCACCATTCAATGTTGATTGCATTCGCAAAATACAGTTAAAACGTCCAATATTGTTTTGGGGGGCGGAGGAGAGCAAACGAGCAAATTATTCCGGTCTAATAGTATAAAAAAGCCACAAAGGAATGTTTTAATGGAGTGTCGCAGATGGATTTATCCAGGAATGTAGACCGGGCTGAAGCTAGGCTTTCTAAGGGCGCCTCAGTTTGGATGTCATTTTATGACCCGTGTTCGACCATGAAGCACAGAAGCTAGTTAACGCGCGGTAATACCAATCCACTGTGATAACAAGATAATGATGTGATTTTCATCATTAAAATCCCCGTGAGAAGAAACCGGAGTTCCTGGAGAAAACCCACAACTTTTCGTAGATCTTTGACTGACTCTAACATAAGTCAGTCTAACATAAGTTTCACAACTCTGCAGCGAGAATTGAAGGTGAAAGCGCCTACTATGACAATTACGCCAGAAAATATCTTGGGTATACCACGTCAAAATTAAGCTGTATTAGAAAAAAGAACATAATTAGACTAACTAAAGTATTAAAGAGCGTCGTACAGTTTAAATAATCTCGTAGCGGGTAGACGGAGTTGGGGGATGTTTGTAAACTCTGAATTGACTGCAATGAGACAACAACATTTGATTAACTGCTATGATTAGTCTACCTCAGAATTTAAGGTTAACCAACAACAATTAATGGACAGCAACTCAATCGTCGTCGCTCTTAACTCGTGATAATAATTTCTTCATTATACCTTTATTATACCTCAAACCTTGGTCAAGAGGTAGTAAACGATGAGATTCAAGCATCCTGAGAAAAATACCCTTTCAAATAGTATGTTACTGAATGCAAGGCGACTTATCAACGAGACTATAACGAATTGGACATCCTTATTGAAATAATTTTTCAACACTGAAGTAAATTTTAGAACCGTTACTATATACACAGTAAGCCAAAAAAATGTGCATGATTCAGCTTACTACTGTAGTTAAGGTCATGTAGGCTATCATGCTCGTTCGGTTTGAGCCACTGAGCTGTATAATACATGGAGAGCGCAACCATAGATACAGAAATTGAAGCCGGAAGTCGCGCGCGGCCGCCATCTTACTTCGTGACCACCTTGAGCAGTGAGCTATTGTGATTAATACGGTATTTTCAACTGTTTTGCTCTGTTATCTCGCAGTAGAGGAATAAATCAAGTCAAATATGATATTTTAAGCAAAAGCACATGTTCAACAATGTTGGGGACCTCTTTTACATTCAAAGAAACGTGTCTATATTTTTGACGACGTTTCTGAGTGCGACTGAGATGAATCATGAATACAGTCGTGACAACACCTTTAAAATGGGAATTTCTGATAGAGTCGGTGAATTATACCATAAGTTAACACATGAGAAATGACGAAATTGGTCATGAACTTTATTGTTTTGGAAATGGCGAATTTTAGTATGGACAAGATCATAATATACTCATATCACCTCATATTTGTTTCTATCAACGCAAACAAATTATGTCGCTTGTGGGATTTGTTAAAGGTCACCATCCTGAATCATTTGTTCCTTTATTAAAGGAACAAATGATGCAGGATTGTAGAAAAAATAGCAGGTGCGTTGTAGTGACCTTATTTATGTTAATGGTGGGTGCTTAAACGCAATGCCTTGTGAGAATATATACCATCCTATCCCTGCTTGTGTAATATGTTCCTTATTAAAGTCATAGTCATGATTAATTATCACTCTTCTGAGAAGACCTCAATGGTGTTTTATTCCAAAGAAGCAGGTTAAAATTAATAAATTTGAAAGAAATTGAAAGTTGTAAAATAATGGTATCTCATTTCTGTGCTTTTTAGATCATATAGAGACAGTATAAAGTGAAGATGGAACAATGCTGCAAAGAGTTACATTCAGTAATTCAGTTGCATGTCTATATATGCATTATATTGCATTGTGTAAAAACAATTTAATTGTAAAGGGTCTCTAGTATTATAGGATCTGTGTGAAATTCCAGTAGTTTGTTGCCAAATACTCATTTAGTGTGTTGATTTACATAAACTTTAACTTTGATTTTTTCGGCTTTATAGACAATGTTTATTTTTAAAATTACTTCGCCAATGAACTCATAGGATGAGTCGTTTTTTAAGCCATTTACAACATTCGCGTCCGTGTTGTATTGGATATACAAATTCTCGCCTTCTGTTCGAGTTTGTATATCCGATACAACCGCTCATGTTGTAAATAGTACAGGGTGTCCCCCAAAAAATGCCCCCTATCATATTTTGTGGTACTACATCGTTACCTGTATTGAATATTCAAATTTTTTCATTTTTTTATCAATGAACATATTACGTTAATCGTTGCATTTTTTCGGACCAAAATATTTAACCGTTCGCCTTCTTGAGTTACTTAAGGTGGCGACACCAATATACCCTGGATTCCAGAGCCTTCGACAGTAAATAATAAATTGAAGTGTCGCGAAGGCTCTGGTTCAACGGGGCGATTCTTTGATTAAGCCGCGCCAATCACAAAACAGAATAAGTGGTTTTAGTACAGATTCTGTACTAAAACCACTAATTCTGTTTTGTGATTGGCGCGGCTTAATCAAAGAATCGCCCCGTTGAACCAGAGCCTTCGCGACACTTCAATTTATTATTTACTGTCGAAGGCTCTGGAATCCAGGGTAACACCAATATTGCCACTTGTCCAAATTGAGGATATTAGGTTTAAACATATTACGGAACGTTATAAAATATTTTAATGGTAAATGGCTACATATCTTTTCTAAAACTTGTAATTAGTTGTAGCCAAAATCGCAAATTAATTTTCTGTAAAAATAATGAAGCAATCCCCAGAAAAGGGGAAAGACTAGTGCCGAAATCCCAACATTTGCTCTTTCATGGAACAAATTGAACGGAAACAGCAAATTTAAGGCATTTTCGCAACCTTAGCTTTGCCTTTGTCAATTTGCCAGCGATTTTTCATCTTTTTTATTAATTCCTACAAGAAACAAAGTTTAATAATAGAGATAAAAAACATTTTGTTTTTGAGCAAAAAGGTGGGTACCCTTGTAGAATCCGACATATTTATAACCTATTTATACCTATTTTTTCTCTATTTAGCCCCATTTTTTCCGTATTTTCAAAAATATGACTATTTTATTACTATTTATCAAATTTCATAAAATAGTATATGACTATTTACACTCTATTTAAAATATATGTTATTTATATTTTTCAAAAAAATAGCTTTTAAATAGGTATTCAAATCCTATTTGAAAGAGTATTTGACGGAATCTCACTATAAAATAGCTTTTAAATAGCTATTTAATTCCTATTGATGACAAACGAGTCAGTTAAAATAGTTTTAAACTAGCTATTTTTAAACTATTTTGCTTATCTTTTTGGAGCCATTCTTAACACATTTATTAAATAGCAAAATAAATATAGATCTTAAATAGCTATTTAATTCCTATTCATAGAAAGTTGTGGCGAACTTTGTTCCAAATAGCTATTAAATAGCTATTTTTAAACTATGTTTGCTTTTATTTTTGGAGCTATTATTGAGTATTGTTAAAACAGTTATTAAATAGGAAAATAAATAGATCTTAAATCGCTATTTAATTCTTATTCATAGAAAGTTGTGGCGAACTTTGTTCAAATGGCTATTAAATAGCTATTTTTAAACTATGTTTACTTTTATTTTTAGAGCTATTGTTAAAATAGCTAATAAATAGCAAAATAATTAGATCTTAAAAAGCTATTTATTTCCTATTCATAGAAAGTTGTGAGAATTGAGAAAGGGTAAATGTATTTATTTAACTGGTCAAAATTTCACAGTTTGAGTTAATTTTAAATTTTTTACGAGTTCATTGAAATTATATTTACAAAAATATTTATAGTCTTTGTGGAGGTAGGTGTTTTGTCTCTTGACAAAACACCACCAAAAATTCTCACGAAGAGCGCGGTTTGACAGACTCACAGACTGGTGCCTAATTTTCCAACAACACGCGCAAAGCTTTCTGGGATAGCGTCACAATTCACACCGCCATATTCAAAAATTTTTGAGTTTAAACTTTCCTCTCGAAATACTCAAATACAGAGCATTTATTGAGCGAAAGTAATATTTATTTTAAAGATTAAACAACAGCAATGAGTGGGTAACATCCAGTTAAGAATTTTGTTATGTTTTATTTATAAATAGAGCAATTTTGAAAGGAAATATTTACTATCTTCATTCGTGAATTTTGAGCACATGTTCCAGCTTAAAATTTCAATTTGCTTCGACAATATTTGAATTAAAACAACATTAGTTATAGAAACTAGAAAGGCTTACATTTGACTCAGCCTTTGTATTAAATGTTGTTTATTGTAATGCCAAATAGTATACTTTGACCTTTGTGTATAGTGTATATGACAGATTGCCAGA